CTTCTGAGTTTTCCAAGAAAATTACCGAAAAAGGAAATTTTTAAGGAAATTTAGGATCAGCGGAAAGAGTTTTTTTTATTTATTTATTTATTTATATATTTAACTATAATATATATTATACTATTTAAATGATAATATACTTTATATTTCAATTAATTAATAAATTAAAATCTAGTTTAATTGCAAGTAATATAAAAAAAAATAATAATAATAAATTAATTATTATTAATTATTATATAAAAATCTATATAATATTATAAATATTTATTAATTTACCAACTTTTTTTATTGATTTTCTAATTGAATATAAAAAAAATATTCTTAAGAAGTTATGTACTCCTTTATTAATAAAATTTTAATATTTTCTTTAAATAATCTAATGTTTATTTTTAAAAGTCATATTTATTTATTTCTTTTTATTTATAATTCTTTTTTTAGTAAAAATTAAACTTTTTATAACTTACAAAAGTTAAGTAACACCTTTTATATTAAAGATAAGAAAGTTTAGAAATAAATAAAAACTGATATATAATTATTTACATTATAAAGAAATATTATAAAGTAGTTTTAATAAAAAAAGATATTATCTATCTCAGTTTAATTCTAAATTTTGAGTAGTTTAAAGTTTCTTATATCATAATTAAACAAAAATTTTTCATATCGATAAAAGATATAACAAGCTTTTATTGATCATACTATATACTTTAATATATTTTTTCAGATTTAAGATTTACTATATGTGATCTTTAAATATATATGAATAGATAAAAAGACTATCAACTTTTATATTATTAATTCAGCAAAAGAAAAAGAATATATTTTGTTTTTTTTTTTTATTAAAAAAGAAAGATAAAATAATATTTAAAGAAATATAGAATAAAAATAATACTTTAAAAGTATTATACATATTATTTATTAATAAGATTTTGAAAAATTAAAAAGATTTTAAAATATTTGTATCTAATTAACAATAATATTAATATATAGTTAAATAACTTAAGTGATTGATTGAAAAATATATTACACTGAAATATTAAACAATTGTTCAATTTTTATAGATAATAGTACTTTGAGAAAAATAATATATTGTTTATTAGATATAATAAGACATATGTCAAAAGTATTTGGATTCTTTTTTTTAAACTAAAATATTACAATAGTAAAGAAAGATAGATTGTTAAATGATAAATTTCAATTTTTTCAGTATTTATTTATTTTTTTTTATATTCTTCAAAAACCCTAATTTATTATCACTTAAAAAAACATTAATAGAAGATTTTATATTAGATAAAATATAGAAGAAAAAAATAATGAATTGATAGATAAAAATCATAATACAGAGATACTGAAAGTAGTAAAGGAATAAGTATTACATTTTAAACTAATAAAATTTTTAAAAAATAACTAGTTCATAGTACTAAAATGATAATAGTAATATATATTCAAGTTATATATAATCAAATAAAAAAAAATTTTTTTTTTTGGTATTTTTTTTATAATATAAAATCTTTATCTTTGTTTAAATTTATATAGTTTTGTTTTTATTTTTCTATTTCAAATAGAGTAAATAGAATAAAAAGATATTAAATATAAAGTTAAAACAAACTATTTGATCTACAATAAACATAAATATAAATATATTTCATTAATTTTTTTTTTCAATTGAAATTTTATTTTAATACTACTGTTCTTTCTAGTTTCAATGAGATAGTAATAATCACAAGATGAATATTTATTTTATTGTTTACTTTATGAGAAATAAATCAGAATTACAATTTAGAATAGTTTTTCTTCTTTTGTTACTTTAATTTAATCAATAAAATATGACTTTGTATAAAAAAAAAAAATTATTTAATATTTTAATATAATATAATATAATGGCATAATTATAGATTAAAAATTTTTTATATTAATTAATTAAGTATTCAGATTTATTAAAATCAGTATCTTTTAAAAGGTTTTTTTTTTTAATTTAAAATTCAATATTATAATTATAATATATTTAAAATTTTTTCATAAATAACATTATTCTTTATATTTTTATCCTATTTTAATTAAAGATAAATTTGTTCAAAAAATATTTAGACAATGTATATGTTATTATTAAAAATCTAAATATCTTGGTCAAAAAATTTTATTATTTAAATTTTTTTAGCTTTCTTTCTAATCTCTGCAATTACTATGTATATTACGTTATCAAACAGCTATTAAAAAATTAGATTATTTAGATACCGTTAATTTTTGCAATTTAATTTTTAATCAACGGCGACACCTATCTAACCAAATATGCGAATCCATTTATCCGAATTATTCGGAAATGTCGATTGGACAAGAAAAAAAATTTTTTTCACAAATGATAGCGGTCAATTTTTAATTTATTAATTAGAGAAATAATTTTATCGTCCAATATTGCCTAGCGGAATCTTATCGATAAAAAGATAAACAAACAAATTGAGAAACAAGGAACCGGATTTAAGCAACTTTTTGTGCCTGGAAAATTTGATAAGAATCGCTACACTAGGACGAAATATTAAAGGTAATGATAGATAAACATTTAATTTGCGAATCTGTGGGTCCGGTTGTGCGTAACGATCCGGTCGTACGTGCGTGCATACTTGGAAATTTTGCAATAAAAATAACAAATGCTCACAGTGAAACCGAGTCCCTGCGATGCTCCTGCTCGGGTTCGAACCGAGGGCCTTCTGCGTGTAAAGCAGACGTGATAACCACTACACCACAAGAGCTTTCCTACATATTGTGTTGATCCCAGTCTTTTACTTGACCAAATCTTTTATCCTAATGCGGAAAATGAGCAAAAATAAAAAAGATCCATTGTCTTTCTCCGATACATTAAATATTAGTCAGTCACACCATTGTAACTATGACGGATCATCTAATCATCCGCTTTGGTCTCACTGAGCAATGACTCACACTACCCACTTTCGGTGTTTGTCACAATCCAAAAAAATACTGCGTATTATTATTAGTATAAACTCGGAACAATTTTCCAAAAGTCCTTTCGCTTGCTCTCCCAAAGAGGGCTCAAGCTAATTTCATTTCATAATAGACGAAAAGAGTTAATTCTCTTTTTCATTTTTTTTTCTTTTCATTTTTTCCTTTTTCTCTTTCCCTTCTCCCCTTATTTTAAGAAACGGCTTGTGCGTACTCGCAGATAGGGTATGTACAATACATGTCTTCCTGCCGAATCATTAATGCCCGGTCCAATCAGCCAACTTTTTTATGATGGGTTGCCTTCCCGCAACCAAGTGCAGTATCCTGCCCTGGCGGCTTCAGGTTCCAAACAACCACCACCACCACCACCACCACCAACAACAACAACAACAACAACTTTCGTCTTTCCACAGGCGTCAGAAGCTAGCACCTTACAACCATTAATCCCGCCCCCAACACCGGTTCCGACAGAAGTTTCTACACCCACAGAACTCGGAGAATTTGCCTCAAACGTGGTTTACCAGATGTGGTACGTCAAGACTACCGGTTCAACTTTGGTTGGCCAAGTTCCCCCACAGTCTCCATTGTCAGGTCAGGTCTCTAATTTGTCTCAAACAGCAAGCTCACAATTTAAGAACTTTTGCGTTCAGGTAAATGTTAATTTAAAAGTTGAACACGTGAAAAGTCGTTTTTATTGTCGGTTTAAGTTACAAGTTGTTGTTTTGTTTTACTTGTGGCGTGTCTGAGAGACGCTGTTATTATATTCATCTTGGAAAAAGTCTTTATGCTAATACGACTCGATTGTTTGAGACATACTAACCGTCCAACGAATCTCCTATGTAACCCAGGTACTACTGCAAACACAACTATCCAACACTGTGGTCATTTTGTCCCTCAAGTATGTGCAAAGGTTCGTCAAAAGCGGTAGACCTGTTGACTTTGGTGAGGAAGGGCCGGAATATCGGTTGTTTACCATCGCATTGATGCTGGCTAATAAATTTCTTGACGATAATACATTTACAAATAAAACTTGGTCGGAGGTTACAAGCATTCCTGTCAAGGAGATCAATAAAATGGAACTTGCATTTTTGGAATGTATGGATTTCAAGATGTTTGTCAGCGGCTCAGATTACTCACATTGGCTCGATTGTCTAAAGGAATATACAAAGACACAGCAACGGTTGTATGTTCATCAGCGGCAGAGATCATCAGATGCTTTGAAGAGTGAATCTTTAATTACGGCACAAATTCAAAATCAAGATTCGAATAATAGACTTTCCAGAAAATCTATGCAGTTTAATCACGAGTCCACATCATACTTTGATTCTAATATCACAGCTCCCGTTATGAATCAATGTATGATGCCTGCAATTCAGTTGCCTAGCGGGATGCCTCAGTTTTCAACACCCACGAATATTGGATCGACTGCCACCGGGACCGTGCAATCATCAGTTCCGGCTCGCGTTCAAAATTCGTTTGGGCGAAGTTCACCTTCTCCAGCTTTTCAGGCTTTCCACAATTCCTACTTTAATTCTTTGAGAAATAGTGAAAGTGTGAACGGAGAAGTTGGACCTTTTCATCATCCCAAGCGACATAGTATGCCCACAATGAATCTTCAAAATATCATAGATCAAGCACCATCACAGGCCAGTCAATTCAAATCGCTCAACAATTCTCTTGCCTATCATTCGACGGCAGTAAAAATGGAAACCAATCATTCAAATGTCAATCCGACTTCGTTTCACAACAATACATCCCGCGGCGATGCAATAAACCAGTTTGATAACTCGGATGTGTACGGGTCATACGGGAATACTTGTGTCAATGGTCAACGTGGTGAACAACCTCACGTCAACTTTCCGATTCCTGTCGCCAGTGGTCATGACAATATTAATGGCGGCCATAATAAGCCGTTGACCCAATTATTCAATACGAGCGCAAAGGCATTTATGACGCATTATCCTAATGTCAATGAAAACGCGACGGATGCTTTACCCGGTTTTCTGAAACATCAACAAAAGGCTACGACGGAGGTCCAAGAACATGATCACCAATTGACTAACCGCCGCTCGATGCCTCAACCTATTAGATCAGCGTACCCCCCGCCTCTTGGATATGCGGGTCCGACGTCACATGCGGACGAAGGATTCTACAGCTCGGCCGCTATACAATCAGCAAGCGTCATTCACATTCAGTCGCCCGAGTTACATCACTCAACGCCCCCGTTGATGTATCACCAAAAGGATTTAGGAACTAGAGCGACTCAACACAAAATTGGAAGTGTGGCGCCAGTCAATATGAGTGTGAGCAGCAATCCACCAACCCCCGTTGACATTCCTTCCAATCCGATGATTCAACCTTCATCGTTTAGGTCAATCATTGGTAGTAATCACAATAATGCACATAACTCGGCACATTCTCAGAAATCAGGTCAATACTATGGCTCCGTTCAAGCACAACAGGGAATGAATGTTGTCAACATGACCAATGGTATTGGTGGATTCGTTTTCCCTCTGTTCGGTTTAAACAACAATAATAATAACGATAGCACCGCTCAAACTTTCTCCGCCAAAAGATTTGAAGAGGGAACGGTGAATAAGAATAACGGTGGAGTTATTGGATCTATCGCTCCCGTAATGATTGCCCCGCCAGGACTTGGAGTCGTCGGTGGGTTCGGTGCACCTACCATGACAGTTCAAGCGCCCAGAGAACATCACCCGGCGGTTGCACCCAATAGAGTCGTTGGGCCGGCCATCTCAAACGGTGGATATTATCGCATGTTCGATGGAATCACCATCGCCTGAATTTTCAAAATTTGATGCGACAATTAAATAGGAATGTGTGGAACATAGAAGAAAAGGCAATCGAATTATTGAAAGTTAAACTGATTAGAATAATATGGTGGAGTGATATGAATTATTTGATGTCGACAAGTGACGTTAAAGTCACGCCTGTTATTTTCCTTATTTTTTTTTTTTTTTTTAAAAATTTTTATTTTTTTTTTTTTTTTTCATAGTATATGTTTCTTGATCTTCTCCCTTCCCACCCTTCGAAGGGTGATCAGGTTGGGAGGATATGAGAAATGAATGAATACCTTTTTATGCCTTGCTTCTCTACTTTTCAAATTTTAATTAGTTACATGTATAACCTATTAGCTTAGACAAGTTTGAAGTATCGTTCACATCTCTCTGTGTATTATTCCTCGGTGACTTTCGATAATCTTGATTTCACTTTCGCATTAAACCATGCAATTTCGTTATAAATTGTAGATTTATGTGACAAGACGACTTTTGTTGGATTCATATAATAACTTTCAAATGAAATAGAAATATTTTAGTGAGGAACGAAGTTAATCATAGATCCATGAAAGAATTTTTTTCATTCAACTCTGTTTTCTTTGTTGTGATAAAAAAAAATGGATAGATAGATTATAACGGTGAATCGCATAAATCGAATTGGAAGTCGTGTGGTCATTCCATACTTGAAATTAAAGTAATTTCGAAGAACGAGATGCATAAGGGAATCACATTGATCCCCATAAGTGGAATGCTCCATTGTGGCGACCTTTCAATATTTTCAGAATTCATCCTAGTACTTTTTTACATCTGTTCCATTTGCAAGACATTAATAACTCGTTTTCATGCAAGTATTGCGTCACGAGTGTTATCAGGAAAAAAAAAACTTTAATCAATAAAATTGAGTAATACCAAAAAAATATATATTGTCAAGTGTATTGGCTCTTTTCATTTTTGTCAAATATGGATTACTCTTGTTCTGCAAATGTTTATCCTCGTCGTTTTTCCTGCAGCCATGGGGCAATCCATGACGATTTTCGCCAATAAAAATTTTTTTTCACCGATCGATTGAACAAAGAATCCCGCAGTTTTTGTTTACCTGCCACGTAAACTTGTTACGCAAAACATATAACAATTAATACAAACTTGTCATTTAATTATACAATCCTGCGCCGGACTAACGGTTTTAGTAGGAAAAGAAAAAAAAATTTTTTTATGACGAACTATAAAAAAAAATTTTTTTTTTAAGGTTTAATTTAATTTAATTGTTGTTATTTTGATTATCAAACGTGAGGAATATACAGTAAATATAAATTTGGAACGTTAATATATAACGTAGCGAAAGTAGTTAATGTTTGAACTTTATTTTAGTACATGCGTATATACAGTACTTACAACAAATAAATAAAGGATCGCATAAAAATTATTAATGAAATTAGTTTTGATGTATTGTTTCTCATAATGAATTCTGCTTACAATAAAATTTTTATTATTAACTCAATTCTTGCAACTATCCTATAATAAATTATTTTAAATTCTAAATTAAATAAAAATTCTAAAGTTTTATTTAATAAATTTTTATTTTACTAATTAAAATTATGTCATTTGGCAATCAAACTATTGTTAAATTTGATTAAATTTACTAATAAAAATATTGACAAATTCTTTTTGATTGTTATTATTTGATATATAAAATATCAATAATATTTTGATATAAAATTAATAAATCAAATATAGTATCAAATTATATGCTAAAAAAATTTTTTTGAAAAAAATTATTAACTATAATTATATATATTTATTTATTTTAATAAAAATTTTTTGATCAATTTATATTTTTCTAAATTTATTCTTTTTTCATTGATTTTTTAATTATGCAATAAAAAAGATATTTGCAAAAAATTTTTTTCTTCTTTTATTAATAAAGTTTTAAAGTTTTAATCTTTTTTTAAAAATAACTTGAAATATAACTTCAAGAGTTGTTTTTACTCTTTCTTCTTTATTTATAAATTTCTTTATTTAAATACTTGACTTTTGATAGTCAAGTAAAATCAAATAATCTTTTTATTATCAATAACAAAAAAAGTTTTCAAAAAATTTTTTTTAATTATATAATACTTGAAAATCTTTTTAACTTTTGAAACAAGTTTATATAAAGATTTTTTATAATAAAAAGATTTATTTCTTCCTTTGTTAACTATAGTTATCTTCTTAAGCTTTTATTTTATTTTATTTTGATTCTAAATTTTTAAATAATACAATTATTATTGAAAATAATTAATTGATATTAAATATGTTATTTTTAAAATATAAACAAATTTCTATTAATTATATCTATATATTTAATAATATTTAATAATAATTAAAAAGATTTTTTAAAAACCTGTGGGTCAATAGCACAGTGATAGTACTCCCAGGTCGCAATCACAAGGTCCGTAGTTCAATACCACTTAAGAACCAAAATCAAAAATTACCTTTCTGATCAGGTTTACCGGTTATCCTGTAAAAGTTGTACCCAATTATCCAGAACAAGTTTCAATCAGGTTAGGCTGCATAAAGATGGGACTTCTGGCCTCCCGTCGATCAGGGACTGAGATCTATGGTCATATTACCGGAAGGATTGCATGAAGAAAGGCTTCTGGTCTAACCTACTATAAACACCCTACAGATCCCCTGCCCTGGCAATCTTCAGGACCCCCACCCTTCTAGCTCAGGATATCCCAATATGGTGCTTCACTTAAATGAAAAATCAACCAAGCAACTGATCCGATGCCACAGGTGGTAACAAAGAAGGTAAAGTGCCCCCTTCCGAGGTCTGAGCAAATAATATCTTTGTGAGTATTGGAAGATAAAATTAAATCCTGTCGGGTACATACTATACAGCTTAATTTAGTGAATATAATATAAAAAAGTATAAAAAACTTCTTATAACCATCTTTTTGATATGTGATCAAAGAATTAGTAAAAA